TGCATAAGCGCACCAACGTGCCTACCGTCCCTGTCCTATTGTTTCTCCTATTCTTTTATTTTTCTTGTATGTAACCATTTCATGTATTCACAACTATGTATACATTTATACTTATTATCTTGTAAACAATTGGCAAATCAAATAAATAAAATAAATAAATAATAATACTAGGTAGATAATTGGCAATAGAAATATCAAAGTGACGGATAGCTTCTCTCTTTTAGAATCAGCCATTCACAGTAAAGGGGCAAGCAGATAAATACACCACAGACTTGATGGAATAGTCATGAAGACTATGGAAAATATATTCAAATTTATAATGTGTTTACATCTACAAAGATCAGAATTGTGTAAGCCATGGAATTCCCTGTGACACTCTATGGAAATGAAAGTTGAATGTAAAGAAGTAGGACTGAGAAAGTATTGAGACCTTTAAACTCAGGAGAAGACCACCAAGAATACTATGCAAAGCCAAGAAAATAAATTGATGAATCATCAAACAAATCAATCTAGAGTTCTCACTCTAGGCACATGACCAAACTTATCCTACTTCAGACATAGTCTGCAAAGCTCCAGCTCTTTGGGAAAGGATCTAATGGTAGGAAAGATGGAAGGAAAGAGAAGAAGAGGATGACCAGCAGCAAATTGGTTGGATTCAGTTGCTGTGGCTCTGAGACCTGAAAGAACAAATTAGGGATAGTCATGGAGTCATGGAGAAGATTGTGATTGTTAGACGTCAAAAGTCAAAAAGGGTACTTGATGGCACACAATCAATTGTGTCAAAGGTATCTGCTGGATTTTGTTTCAGGAGACTTATATAGTCTATTTGCATCTTTATGTAGGATATGATCTTGCTTTAAAGAGCTGCTGGCAGGTGCTATGTGCAAAATGTAATGTAATGAAAAAAAAATACAGCAATGTTGGATACCCAATGTTGGACAAATTCTGTCTAGTCAAGTTCATAGGAAGAATCTCTCGCATTCAAGAAGATTTTTCAAACCCAGCATTTTGTTGTATACAGGTAGTCCTCACCACTGAGCCCAAAATTTATGTTGTAGAATGAAACAATTGTTAAGTGAATTTTGTCTCATTTTATGACCTTTCTTGCCACAGTTGTTAAGTGAATCACTACAGTTGTTAAGTTAGTAACATGGTTGTCAAGTGAATCTGGCTTCCCCATTGACTTTGCTTATCAGAAGGTCGCAAAAGATGATCACATGACCCCTAGGACATGTCATCAATATATGCCAGTTGCCAAGTTTCTGAATTTGATCATGTGACCATGGGGCAATGGAAATAAATGTGAAAAATGGTCATGTCACCTTTTTCAGTGTTGTAACTTGGAACGGCCACTAAATGAACTTTTGTAAGTCAAGGACTACAGCTCGTTTTGAATATAGCTTCATCTCATCATTCAAGCTTTTCATTGTTTTAACCATACCTTTTCTTCCAATTCCTTTATTTGTCTTTTTTGAGCTTCAATTCTTTCTTCTAGCTCCTTAATTCTCTGTGAAAATTAGAAGTAGGTATGAATACTACATTTTTAGACTTTCATTTAAGCCCACTTTTGACTTTTTGGTATGCTGTGCTTTCATGGAGAGAAGGGAACATATTATGAGCTATGATATGCTCACAGTTAATACAGTAAGTCATGTAACAACTTTCCTTTGCACAGATACAATTGTTAACTTCATAAAATGAAGTCCCTGCTTAATTATAACCTTGAAGACTAGCCTCATGGTTAATAGTTGTCTGTTTGCAATTCCGCCCCTTCCACTGTGACCATTACAAGGTCTGCAACCATTAAAGCTGTGAAAGTGACAGTAATGGAATGATGTGCCTGAGGACATCTGGTATCTCTATGGCTGCTTGTTGCGGCTGTCACTTCCTTAAATGAGCTTTTAAAATCATATTTAAATCAATTTTAATATGTATGGTTTTTTACATTGTTAATTGCTGTTCTGTTTATCTTTTTCTGTTTTATAAGCCACCCAGAGTTGCCATGTAGGGGAGATGGACAACATATGCATTTAATAAATAAGTAAATTTAAAGTAAAGTTATCAATGCAGGTTTCAATGTGGGTCAGTCTTCAGGACCAGAGGTATAGTCTTCTGAACTTTCAGACTCGTGTTTGAGTTTATCCTCAGGGAGCTTCTCTCTAGCAGGGTGTATGTTTTGGGGTATTCTGTTTAATATGGTGCCTGTTTGAGGCTTTTTTAGTTGTTGATTGGGGTGTTGATGGCTGACTATTAAGTTGTTGGCTGTTGTTTCCTTGTGCTACCAAGCCCTAATCTGCTAAATACTTGATAAGCTAGTGGAAAAGCAGCATTCCTGTTGACTGACAAGGGACTTCAATCATTTCCCTGGCTGTTTTTGTGCCTGCTCGTTCAACAATCTTAGTAGCTGCAAAAGTGAATGTATGTCCTTGTTCGTTGCAACATGAGGTTACCAATGAGTTTGGATCTCCTTGTCTGACTGCTTGTTTGTGTTCTTGTAATCTGGTGGTTAGCTTCCTCCTTTGAAAGCTTGGAAGACTAAACCTCTGGTCCCAGTGATCAACTTGGATCCTACAATATTATCCTGGGACACCTGACCTTCATTCATGAAAATTATTAATGGCATAAACAAAACACAAGTGGGAGTCATTGTTCTTCTTGCAGGAGGCATTCTTAGTGACACAATATCCTATTTCAACATACCTGTTGTGCATGTTGAATATGCTCCATCCTTTCTCGGAGAATCTGGGAATCCCTTTCTCGGAGTTCGCTCATAACCTGCCGTTTCCATTGTTCCACAGCATTTTTCAACTTATCTCTCTCTTCTTCTGACAGTATTTCTGACATTTTGGCTCCTGCTTCCTGCTGTAGAGCATCATAGAGCATGGCTTCCAATTCCAAAATGTGCTAAATAAATGAAAAATCAAGCTACTTTACTCTCATTAAGTTTGGGCAATGATGGCGGTTTAATATATTTTGTGACCATTAGCTCCATTGCTCCTTGTCTTTCATTGTAAACAAGATGCGTAGTAGTTCCAGTGTTCTTTGTTTTTCATTGTAAATAAGATGGGCGGTTTCAGCCAGAATATTATTGTCTCAATAAACATGGAAGTCAACCTCTTCTTTTGCCTCCATCTTTAATGCTGAAGTAAATTTATTCTTACAGAACTCATCAATTTAAAGCTCAATCACAACGAACAGGCCCTTTTTAGATTACTCAGTCACTCTATATTTCAAGATCTAGGAATCACTTTTAAGTCATTACTCAAATCACCCAACTTGCAGTCCCTTTTCCAAACATAAATGTAGAAGACTGTAGAGAAATGTATTGTTTATTGATGACACCACTAGATGGCACCCACAAATTCACTCTCTAATATACATATAGTGGCCTAAAGATTTATGTGACTTCTAAATCTCACAATATTTCTATTCTCTCTCATATGAATCTCATTAGTTTTGGCACATCCTAATTTTAATGGTTTGGTGACCACAACACTGTGCATATGATATGACCATGTCTGCTGCTCAAAAAGATTGCTGACTTCAAGTGTACAGGTAGCACTTTTCATGGACAGGCAGAACATGGATTACACCACGGCAGTTGCCATTTGAACTTAATTTTTTTTTTACCATACTGTGCAATCATCCCTGTTCAATGCCCTTTGCAAAAGGATGAAATATTATTGAATACGCATTACAGTATATTTGCTGTATTTAAAAATGCAGCTAATGCTGCTGAACTAGTCCATCATTTCTTTTTTAACCATTTCTCTTTTTAAATCATTCTTTTTTTTTTTCTGCTAAGGGCCATCATTCTGCATGCATGTTCAATATGAATAGAAGTCACAAAGAATCTCTCTCCTACTCAGAATCAATAATAATGTTCACATTGTTGTGAACAAATCATTATCCTTGGGAAAAATTCAATAGGTGGACAAAAATGCCAAGTTCAGTATAACCGTGTTACCAACCATAAAAATAAAAAGATTGCAGAATGAATATCTTGTCTCCAAATCCAAAACATTTATTGATCAGCTACGCAAAAATTGAGATATTTTCATATCTCTGCCATGTTTCAAAGGGAATGCTAAACACAGCATGGTTTTGCCTGTGATAAAACAAGGCATTCCATGTGAATTATTTAAAGTCTCTAGGGAACTTTACATTTCACACTCCATTTTGTAATCTGTGATATATGATTAGGTGCTGAGTGGAGCATAACAACAAATTCTCAATGGATTAAAAATTAAATTTGAGTGAGAGAGAAAGTGGGCAAGCAAGCTCAAGAGAGCACAAAGTGTTAATCAGCTATGGTCACATAAGTCATTAAATTGTGGCTTTTCCCAGCTCGTAGTGACAAAAATCTGAGTAGTCAATACTGAGTCCCTAAATCTGATTCATCTGAACCATTCTCTCTACAGTTTTATGCCCTGTTATATAATTTTATATAAAGTAAATATATACTTTACTATACTTTTCTACCATATGAATACTTTACCAAGAGTCCATGGCATAGATGAGGTGGGAAAACCTGCCATTCCTACCTGAGCTGTAGTCCTGATCAAATCCTGTCTACAGCTAGTTTCACAGAGGAAAAAACATCAACAGATACTTCAGGAATTGCATCTGAAAATTTTGCCTTGAGGTTGAAAAAGGAGAGAGCCTCTTTCTACCTACCCTAATCCAATCTGATTTTTGTATAATCAAATGACACTAAAAATAAAAAATAATAATAAAGAAAAGATTTTTCATGTAATGATTGGTCCGTACTATAATGTATCCCAATCCAAAACCAATCTGGATTAATCTTCCATGGAATTCCTGGGAATTAAAACTGTGCATGCAAATCCCAAATATAATGCAGGTTCACTTTAATTAATGAATCTTTTTCACTGAAACCACTTCTTTGTGGTAGAAAGTCTTTCAATCTATGTGACTCAAAGATTTCAAGAGAGGTTCACAGAACCATTTGACTTTAACGCAGTGTTTGTCAACCTTGGCAACTTTAAGATATGGGAACTTCACCTCCCAGAATCCCCAGCTTGGGGAAAATGAACCAAAGTAAATTTTGTCTGTAGTCTTTCATACCTACCTTGTGTGCTTGATCTAAAGACTGTTTCCTGTAATCCAACTCATCATCCAGATACCCCTTTTGTTTACTAAATAGGTCCTAAAAACAAGGAGATGAGTTATACTGGTTTTCTTGGGAAGCACAATATGTAATCACTTATTTTAATTGTTGGATGAATATTTACCTTTTCATTTTCTAAGTCTATCATCTTTTGTTGGAGTGCTGATTCTGTAACTTCTATCTGTTGTAGCCACTGCAAAGAAATGAAAAAAGATCGGATTTGGATAGGCATATCTAGGGTTTGTTCACCCTGGCAACTTTAAGCTGTATAAATAAAGGAGAATATTTGTAGCTCAGGGTTGAAATGAGGGGTTGTTGGTGTTCTCTGAGCTTGGTTGTAGACATTTCATTACCCAAACTAGGTAATATAATCAATGCTACAGCATAATCAGTGTTAAACTAGGTAACATAATCAGTGAGTTAATGAAACACCTGCAAGAAAACAACCAAGCTCAGTCATGTATGAACTTCAGCTTCCAGAATTCCAGAATTCCTCTGCCAACAAGGTGGCTGGAAAATTCTGGGAGATGAAGTCCACACAGTTTAAGGTTTCCAAGGTTGACAAACATTGAGCACATCAGACAAGAGACTAGGCTTTACTGCTTAACTCTGACTGTTGGTTTTATAGCAAAATACCTCAGTATGCTCAGTATCTCTAAGTTTGGCAATTCTGTTATAATAATTTTATTTAAGCGCTATGATCAGTGGTGGACTTCAAATTTTTTTGCTACCGGTTCTGTGGGCGTGGCTTGGTGGGCATGGCAGGGGAAGGATACTGCAAAATCTCCATTCCCTCCCCACTCCTGGGGGAAGGTTACTGCAAAATCCCATTCCCTCCCCATCCCACTGACCTGCTTTCCAGCTCCATTTTCCTGTGCAGGGCAACAAAAGAAGACTCAGCCAATCAGCTGGGACTCAGGAGGCAGATAATTGATGGGGGTGGGGCCAGTCAGAGGTGGCATTTGCCGGTTCTCTGAACTACTCAAAATTTCCACTATTGGTTCTTCAGAACTGGTCAGAACCTGCTGCATACCACCTCTGATTGTGATTTAGCAAAGATAATCTGATCTTTGGGTTCAATGCTTCATGTAAAAGAGATAGTTATATTGCCAGATGCTAACTGTAAGCCTAAATTACAGTATGGTATTTCTGTACCCAAATCGAACTTCCACTTTACAAAAGTAAAGAAAAATATTTAGGAAGAAAAAACTGCTCACTGATCAGCAAACAAACATTCTTAACTGTTGGTAAGAGAGAATGGAAAATTAGGTATAGGCAAAACAGCTTGAGTTATTTTAAAGATACTAGCTATGAACATATCACTCTGCTTCATTTTGCTTCTTATCCCATTCATGTCAGTTTAATAGCTATATATATTTATAAGGAATTTGGTTGGAAATGGTATTTACAGCTTTAGTTATTCTGTTAATCCACTTTGGTTACTCCACCCCAACATCCCAGCAACCAAACATCCAGACAAATTTTTTTTCTGTTTGATGCAGAGCTGAGAGCCATCCTACTAGTTATACTGGTGACCAATCATACTGGGGACATGGCAAGATCATTTCCAGGCAATAATTAAAGTAATTTGTAGCACCAAGTCTTAGATATGTTTTTGGAAAGATTAAGATTAAAGTTAAGGCAAGGTTAAGGAGGTTGTCAAATCTGTTACATTTGCTTTACTTTTATAAATCAGTACACAATAATGTTGCACCAGAGAATAAGTTATGCTAATATATCTGGACACTGAATGCCTCTCAGCAAAAGAAACAACATCCCCATTACCTTTTCTGCCAGGGTCAAAACTGTCCTTGCTTGTATGACTACAACTTGCTCATCGTTCGTTAAGTTCTAAATTAAGAGCAGAATAAAAGTATCATCACAACATACATCTCTGCATTGTTTTCCCATTTCCAAGGCTGCTCTTGCCCTGAATATTTAAACATTTCTAAAAACTACAAATCAAAAGTAGTACTTGATTATAATTTCTTGATTATAATTCCAAGATAACATTCCGCGATCAGGAGGTATTGAAAAGAGTTGATCTCTACAATCCACTCCTGATAAATACAGGTAATCCTTGATTTACAATACTTTGTTCAGTGATTGTTCAAAGTTAAACCAGCACTGAAAAAAGTGACTTATCATTTTTCACATTTACAACCTTTGCAGCATCCCCATGGTCACATGGTTTACATTCAGATGCTCAACAAATGGTTCATATTTAGGATGTTTGCAGCATCCAGGGGTTATGTGATCAAGTTTTACGACTAACAAACGTGTTACTAACTTAACTACTGCAGTGATTCACTTAACAAAGGTGGCAAGAAAGGTTGTAAAATGGGGTAAAACTCACTTAACCATTTTCTCACTTAGCAACATAAATTTTAAAACTCAATTGTAGTTGAGAGACAAGGACTACCTCCATACAAATATTGGCTTACTCCATTACTGAAGTGTCAATTATGAATTCTCAATAAATATTAAAAAGAAACATGAGGTAAATAAATAACATCCTAATTTCTGGAAGTGAATAAACCTAAAAAAATAACATCTGTTATTTATTTAGGTTTATTCACTTCGAGATATTAGAATTAAGAAATCTGGAACAGCAATGGGGAATTGCATCTGTGACTTTGTGAAACAACACATGGAACAAGTCCATGTTTTCCCCCTGAAGTGATTTGGAGATATCCTGAAAAACAGCTTTTTTATTTGTTTATAAGAAGCTCATTTGCACTTTATCTCTCCCCCCCTGCCCCGCCCCGCACTGTGCCCGGACTTCACAGAAGATCTGGAGTTCTCCAATCCTCTTTCCTGAAAATAATTGCCCATTGGTTGCATTGAACATCTGCCCACAAAAGCCTCAGTATTTGCAAGTTAATCAGTGGGAAGAAATGAGAAACCTAATTTATGGCCCGCTCTGCTTCCCTCTCATCAGTGTAAATCTGAAAACTGCTGATGCCTGGATCAATCTTAGCAAAATGGAAAAGCTGCCCTTTGGAATGGTCTCACCTCACTCCCAATGTTTGAAAACCTAAAAATATGATCATTCCCTCCAGGTTTGGGGCTGGGATTCATAAATTCACAATGAAAGAGGGTGTGAATGTGTGCCAATTTGCCTATTTCTGACTTTTATGGCTGATTTTTTTGTTTTCATCTTGATAGTTTCCTGTAAACTGCCAGAGCCACCTTGGGCAGCCCTATAAATTATTTAAATACATTTTTAAAATACCTGAAAAGATATTTGATTAAGGCTCAGACAAACATAACTGTCTTAAATGAAGGAAAAGGCTACCCTGCTTTTCTTTGCTTCCAATTAGATGTTGCCCTGACATATTGAGAAAATTAAATGGTGCCATAAGCAGTAAATTTTCTAATAAAATAAAATAATAATGATAAAAGATAAACAAAGATAAACAAAATTTAAAAATAGATGTTGAGGAGACTCTATAATTGAGGTCCAGATGAAGCCTACGGGCAATGGATTACACAGACCATCCCAACAAAAAATAATTCATTTCAATCATGCTTCTGTCTCAAACTTTGGCATGTTCTAAACCATAATTCTTTATACAATTAAATATTTTTTAAAGTAGCAAAGAATAGTAAAACACTAGTAAATGATATCCAATCCCTATATTACAATATTAATCCCTATATTATTAGCTTATGAAATACCTTAGACCAGGCATAAATAACTTTATTGTGCTTGGGAATTACTTTTCATAGTGTACCTTGCCTGAAAGATACAACATGAAAAGGTACATCCAGGGGCACCCACACACCCCAAAATTAACTCCCTCCACTTTGAGTGTTTCTGATAGGATATTGTGTGAGGTGATAGTGGCCTTCAGATTATTTGTTGCCAACTTCTGCCTTATTCTATAAAATAGTAGATTGGGGGCAATATAATGTTTGTTGGTATAATGGTATCACACAAGTGGATCAATGGTGGGATTAAATTTTTTTACTACCAGTTCTGTGGGCGTGGTTTGGTGGTCCTGGCAGGGGAAGGATACTGTAAAATCTCCAGTCAGAGGTGATACTTGCCGGTTCTCTGAACTACTCAAAATTTCTGCTACTGATTCTACAGAACTGGTCAGAACCTGCTGAATAGCACCTCTGAAGTGGATGATATAAGGGTTAATGCTTCTATAATGCTTTGTTTTCAGCCCTTAGCTACTTCATCCAGAGAAAAATATTTAATCCTCCCCTAAAATCAAATCTAAACATTTTTGTTCTGTCCATTTTGGGGGGTCTTTTGGAGTGGGGAGATTGCATGTCTATCTTATAAGTCTACCTAACTTATATTATTGACATTCTCTATAAACTAGGTGTGAGGAAATATTGGTCCAAAACAAGGACTTCTCCATGTCAAAATGTTGCTTAATTATAACAAATAAAAGTGATTACAGGGACATTTAATGCAGCCTGAACAAAAGAATGAAACACATTCACTGAAACATGCACAATTAATTAAAGGAACATACACTTACGGCGTTATCCCCTAAAATATCCAGTTTTTTCATCAACTCTGCTACTAGTATATCCTATCGGGAGAGAAATAGACAGGGAGCAGCATGTGAAAAGAACACAATATTACACCAAGCAAGAAACAAAACTTAAAAACTGCAACAAGAGCAACTGGGAAATTACTTACTGTTACCCCTTCTGCCTCACAATAGACTTGGAGGGGACTTTTTCCTTCCGTAAAAGGAACGTGATGAAAATTAATTGCTGGTGATCTTCTTTCTCTCTCCTACAATCAAATTATTTGTGGGGGAAAAGGTATGGCTTAATCATCAGCTTAGCCCACAATACAATTTCATTTAATTAATTTTCCAATGTAAGCTACCAAAAGAAAAAAAAAATCAAATATATAAGTTGATAAATTATAAACTTTCTAAAAGGATTTGTTTTGGACTCTTTGAGTTACAGAAATTCATTAGCTCCACTGCTTCTTCTGAAGAAATGCCAAAAAAAGAAAAAAGAAAAAAAGAGAGTTTCTGAGGGGATTTTCCCCTTATGATTCTTGGAGTTTTTCTTCTCCACTTTAGGGGAAGATGGCGTTTTGCCTTCAGCTTTAGGAGGTTTTGCTGCATCCATTCATTGTGGCTGGTTTCTTGGTGCTGCTTTTCTTTCTTTCTCCTCATCACTAAAAGCAAACTTGATGAGGAGTGAACAAAGAAGAAGCCAGGCCAGTGCAAGCTGCTATTTTTAGCCCCTTCCCCCTGGCCAGAGGGAAATTGTCAGAACATTAAAGGGCTATCATGAAGCATCACAAAAATGTGCTTGACAATTAGTGGCTGCCTGAAAAAGACTAAATTTTTCCACCAAATAAATAATACCATATTTATGTTTCTAATATGCTGGGAATACAAAGTCTGAGAAGTTTAGGTTTAATAATGAAGGGTCCTTGGTGCCCACTGAGCTGGATTGTATTCTTGCAGATGTTTTATTACCCAAACTGGGTAACATCATCAGTGAGCACTCCTTAAGCTTAGGTGTTCCTCACTTTCACTGTAAAAGCTCATCATACTGGATTATTGACTTTGGGCTGAAACCTTAAGAAAGACACATGAAGACAAACCAGACATGATTTGAACTCCTCATGAACCACCAGATGGCATCAGTTCTGATTCTGAGGCAACCTTCAATCTTACCAAAGAGAAGGTAAGCTTCACAGAAGTGGGTGCTAGATATGAATCTATCACTTATTTAGCAGACGGGTATAAATTCCTGTCAGCTAGTACATGTAGCCCTCAACCTTCGGCCACAACTGAGTCGAAAATTTCTCTTGCTGAGTGAAACATTTGTAAAGTAACTTTTGCTCCATTTTATGACCTTTCTTGCCACTGTTGTTAAGTGAATCACTGCAGTTGTTAATAATTTTGACGTGATAAAAATTCAGGTGCTTGGCAACTGGTTTAAGTTTATGATGGTTGTGGTGTCCTGGGATCATGTGATCATTTTTTGCGATCTTCTGACAAGCAAATTTGACGGGGAAACCAGATTCACTCAACAACCAGCTTACTAACTTAACCACTGCAATGATTCACTTAACAACACTGGCAAGTAAAGTTCTAAAATGGGACAAAACTCACTTAACAAATATCTCACTTAGCAATGTGAATTCTGGGCTCAGTTGCGGTCGTAAGTCGAGGACTACCTGTATTTATTTACATCCAAAGCTGCTTAGACTTATATAAATAGAAGGTTGCATGTTTACTGGTTGTTCTGTTAAAAAGCAAAATTAGTCTAATCTAAAGCAAAGCTGGAGGATGATGGGAGTTGTAGTCTGAACTACCTGAAGACCACCAGGTTGAGGAATATACATAAGCCATAATTTAATAAGGCTTATGCACGCTAAAACTAAAAAATTATTAAGCTTACATTGATCACCTCACCAGTATTTGCTTCCACTTATCACAGCTAGTCACCTTGCTATAGGATTGCAGTGGCAAATAGTTGTTTAAACAAGCCAATGCTAGCAAACACAATTTGTTTTGTCTAAAATGATGACCCAACAAAAGGACGAGGAAAGGACCCTGAAGTGTGATACAAACTTCACTTGGCAGACCAGAATGTGCTGAAGACCAATGTATGAATTTGCCCAATATATGGAACCAAGTAATTAATGTAATCATGCCTCATGTTGAAGCTATTCTGGAGAGCTTCCTAAATTATACTGTAATAATGTTCCATGCAGAACACATGACAAAATTTGGAAATGTGAACTCAAAACGTCTAGTACTTACTTACCTCAAGTTCTAATATTCTAAATTCCAAGAGTTCATTTTGATCTTTAGCGTCCTGAACATCATGCTTAAGCCGAGCCTCTTCTATTTCCATTTGCTTTATCTAGAAATGCAGAAGGATTTCCCCTTTTTAATTTTTTTTTTGTCAACAACTTGTTTTAATTGCACAGTGACTATAGAACTGATGATGGAAGCTAAGAGTGTGAGCTCTAATTTTGCTGCAACCATTAACTCAGGATAATGCTTTATCAAACCACCACTGCAAATTTCTATATGTAGGTAATAGTACTAACAAATTTTAAAAACAAATTTCAGAGCTAAGGTATATGTGATCTGTGGAAACGGGAAAGGCTAAATGTGTTGTCACTGTAAAAAAATAAATTGAAAGTCACAATTTTATAGTTTACGCTTTTCTTACTTTAGAATTGAAATAGAAACGAACATGTCTAAACAACATTGAGAATACAAGAAACACCACTTCTGTTTGGTGACAATTCTTCTGCATGTTTGGATTCAATTAAATAATGTACCCTTTTGATGACCAAAGATGTTACCAAATATGTATGTTTCATTAAGTGCTCTTTTGCCTTATGATTTTTCTAAATTTTCACTGATATATTCAACTTATTTTTAAGTTCCCTATGAAAACAGAAGGTACCTTTTCCACAAGCTCTTGGTTTCTTTTGTATAAAGCCTGCTTTTCTTCAATCCACTTCATATCCTTAAAAAAAAAAATTAGAAAATCAGTATTACAGAAAAAGATGGGGAAACACCATGAATCTTTTAAAAAGGCAAAATGTTGGAAGAGAGCATAAGAAAGTAGGAAAGCAGAGCTTGAAATTTGTCTTCCTGATTGGCTTCAGTAGTCTCTAGAGAAAAATACATTTGGACTTCCCAACAGCTGATAATCTGTCTTTTGAAGAATATTGAAATGAAATACCCTCCTGAAGAGTTTCAAGTTCTATTTTTGCTGGAAGAGGGTTGCAGGAGGCTGTCTCAGCCAAAAACAGAGCTCGGGAGCCTGTTTTCGCTGACAGAGCACTTGGGCCCCACAAGCACCCCCAACACAAGTGACGTCAAATTGCTCATGCCCACCCTGGTCCCCAAGGTCAAACACAACCCTGATGCAGCCCTCAATGAAATCGAGTTTGACACCCCTGCTCTAAATCATTCAGTGATTTTCCAGAAATTAATCCTGTAAAATGGAAAAGGGATATAAGATTACAGGCATGGTTAAAACCCAAAAACAAGCCTGTTTGTGTCCAAAACACAATGCTCAAAACCTTTTTCAATTCAATTAATTTTTGGAAAACTGTTTGACAATCTCCAAGAGAAATTAGAAAACACTGGAGTTTGGGTTTTGCGCATGCTTCCATGTGAACCTATTTCTAGTTATTTTATAGTGATAACTTCTGATAAATTTGTTACAGTAATGTGAACTAACAAATAATTTTTTCCAATGTATATTACCTGTCCTTGTTCAGCAAGTGCTTTTTCTAGATCCTCTATTTGGGCTTGGGACCTCTGGATTTCTGCCTGAAGCTGCTCACGAGTCTGTAGGATGGGATTGAAAAAATGTCAAACTTACTCTGATTGCTGCTATGCTAAATTACAATGCAGTCTTACCAAGCTGAATAGCCTAAGCAAATAGTTGCAGACACTTAAAAAATCTAGTCACACATTCAAATAATTTGAATTGCGAATTATACATTTATTTTATCCCTAACATGTTTGCATGGAGGGATATAAAATTGGAATTAATACATGCTAAAGACAGCCATAGTTCTCTTATACCAATTCCTCATACTTCAGGGATACATTTTCATGTCCATTATCCTGTAACATCTATGTCTTTTAGATTATTAAAAATTGATTACATTTTTAATGTATAATATTATATGTTAATAACGTGTCCACTGTCAGTAACCATAAGGAATTGGTTACAAAAAAGGGGGACATTATGTGCCTGTACAACTTTACAAACAATCCTTCACTTGCTTCTTTATTTTTTAGCATTTCTGTCCACAAAGCTATTGAATTTCAATTTCATTCAGGAAATTTGTTAAAAGTAAAATATGTCTTGGTTAGGGGTGTTTACTTCCTAACTAGGGGTGAGTTGATCAGTTATTTCCAGTTTATGTCATATATCTATCTATCTATCTATCTATCTATCTATCTATCTATCTATCTATCTATCTATCTATCTTTGGTTATTCGGGTTTTCTCCCGTGTAAGATTGGAAGTATCTAGGCAACGTTTCGATGAAGTCTCATTCATCATCTTCAGGCTTGTG